GGGGGTTGTCTTGGTTATCAAAGGTTTTCCAAACCCCTTCAAACAGGGGGAACCGTTTACGATCATTAACCACCCTTTTTCCTCCCCGAATGTAATTGTAGCCATTTAGTTTAATGAGGAGCTGATAGGAGTGTTGACTCATGAAGGGATACGGTTAGCTACACAAGCCCTGAAACAAAGCTGAATGCCTCCACATGAAAGAGCATTTGTTTTGAATTTGGTCTGATTTACTGGCAGCTCCGCTCTGCGCACGGGAGTGCGGCTCTGCAAATCCCAACCGGCGAGACCCGGGCAAGAGAGGCAAAGACACGGGGTTTGCAGCAGTTCTCTGAAGCCAACTTTCTCTTTTCTTTACATCCTTCGGGTAGTACAACGGGGTATTCGCCTGGGGCTTTCATGAGCGGGTGTCGGGGGCGCTTGGAGTCCTTGGGAAAAGCCCCGTCTTATCTGAGTTCACCAGTGCCATGCAGAGAGCACCCTCTCGTCTTCCTTTCGCTGTTTAGGGCTAGTGAGTTGTATGGACTCTGGCTCAATGATTTCATACCACGGGGCTGAACGAGTCCCAGGTTACCATAAGTCTGAAAGCTGAGCGGATGGCAAGGGCAGGGCAGTGCTGGGATCAGGTGGATCATGACCGTACCTTGAGTTCCCTTTAAAGATCTTCTACATGCCGCCCTCCCTTGAGGAATCTCTTTGGCCACCAGCAGCCACCTGTAGGTGTTCAGCACCGCGGACCGCTGTTTGGGCGGGGGGGCGAAGGTGGCGCTAGAAGGGTTGGAGACAATACGGCAGAGTGCGATGGCCATGTATGGGGATTTGGGAAGCGGGCCAGGACTCTGGGCTTAACATTCCTAGTCCGACAGGAGAAGCGCGGTAGGGCCTGCAGGAGCACAGACGTTGTGATAGAAAAAGGGAAGCAGTGGCTTAAAACAAGAAGAAGCACACGACTATTCCTCCTCCAGGCTGGATCCTTTCTTTAAAAGAGCTACCAATGTTATTTTGCTCTTGATGAGGCTGAGGGCAGTTTCAGTGCTGAATGGCAGAGGTCCTGGGATAGCATCGAGAGGATGCAGGAGGGAGACCGGCGTGGAACGATGTGGGTAATATAGTGCGAGCTTCTGCAAGTGTTTCCCCCTCGAAATAACCAATCTGAGCCTGTCTTTCACTTGCTCTGTTTTCTGTTTTTCTTCCTGGCCTGGCCTGCGCTGCAGAGAGCCAGCTTAATGAATGGGGCTCAGTTCAGGGTGGGAGGAAGGTCGGGAGCCTGGAGCCTGGAGCCAGGGGCTTGATTCTTTTGGCAAGGGAAGAAGAAAAAAAAAGGGAGCTGAATGTGAAAACGTAATCCCGCGGGGGTCCTCACAAAGGAACTGGTTCCTCCTGAAATGCACAGAGGTGACCTTTAATTCACTGGAGCTGCCCTTTCATGTTGTCTGTGGCACTTTTAAAAGGAGTGAGACGAAGTGAAGTGCGGGTGGGAGGGAAGGAGGTTTGGGCAAAGAGGAAGGGAGGGGAACCCTGACAGCACAGCCCTCCTGACCTGCTGGGACCTGGTTAACTTTCTTTAAAAAAGGAAAAAAAATCTTTCCAAAGGTTAAAATCTGAACAGAGGAGCCCATGAAATCAACATGCGGCTTGGCTCAATTTTAATGCAGGATCAGTTAATCCTTTACTCCAGAGGGAAAACTTGCCAGTCCTCCTTCTTTCTTCTTTGTCTCCCACCTCCTTCCATAATCTCTGCCTTGCTTTCATTTTGTTGCCTTTTTTTCCTGCCCCTCTCTCTTTTTGCTGCTCTCTCTCTGGCCCAGTTTAGTAGGACTTCACACTCAAGAAAACTCCCCAAAAAATCAACAGGTGTCCCTGCCCAGCTAGCAGTGAATTGTCTTCTTTTTTTGTTCATTTGGTTCTTGAACCCACTTTTACCCCAAGTATTGGAGAGGCAACCATTTTTAAACACGTTTTAATTTGACTCTTT